GATCTAAGAGAACTTAGTATACCAGTGCCACATAGAGTTTCACTTACCATGCCGCGAAGGAATAGAGTTAACTATGAAGCAGTAGTTAAACGTGTACGAAAGGAGAATAATAGAATTATGTTGCGTAAGTGTTGATATTATATGCTCCAAATAGCAACTGATATGGTGGCAATTGCATTTGACAGAGAACTGACAGATATTAAATGATCTATTGTATTGTGTAATGAATAATACCTATCATATGAGCATATATCTGATGAAAATTAACAAATGTAATCAGTGTCCAACTTATTAAACATATAATGTTTATGTCTACGTCCTATTTAGTGTTAATTAATGTCACGGCTTTATTAGTCTATTCAGTGTTTTGTCATTTTATAATTTTTTCATTGTAACATCTTGTCATTATCAAATCAGTTTCGAACTTTGCAGTGTGATATCCTTTCACTGTTATTTTAAATTGTCAAACTGAGCATATAAGTACTAGCATTCACAATTGTGTAAATGCACCACTACCAAACAAAATGTATAGGTGCACATCACAAACACAATACAACGATGAAGGTTCTTCTTCACGCAATAACCAAAATAGTTCATATTCGGCCAAAAAACGTGAACGCTCAACCGACAGATCAACATCGCTGAATAAAGTCCCTTTAATTGGATCATATACTGATTCTAGTAGTGTAGAGTGATATGGACGAAAGCGTGCATTCCGCAATGAGCCAATCGACCCTTATCACCCATTCGATAAATCTAGACATGTAATTGTTGGTCCTGCTATTGACTATGTGCCTCCAGGTGCTCATATCGAATACACATTAAGATGGTGACAATTATTTGACAAACGTTGTGACCTTGAAATATTTTGTCATTGACATGGACTTGCGGTATCAAAGGCACATTTGGCTAATATTTACGATCCACATAATTCAAACAATCATGACAAGATCATGTTATGGCTTAAACGTGAAAATGATCAAATGCAGTGTCATCTTGATCGGTTTCATGCAACCAATTATGCCAAAACAAAGCATTTTGATCCTGAATATGTCGAAATAGAAATTTTAGAGGATTCGTTACTTGTTTCCGATCCTAAACTTTCTAATTTCTCTAATCTGGACGATTATGCGTCTAACATTTTTATCCCATCATATTTATATGTGATTCGATAATCCTTTATGTTGTGTTGAATATCAAGCACGTTATTGACAATCTTTTTTACTACAACAGATTCACTACACACGTGTTATGAAATAAATGCTCAATTTTTTTTGTTATGAATAACTTGTATTTTTACATCGCTTAATAACATTATTGTTGACATGATCAAAATTAAATATTTGTATTATATGTATATGTTTAAAATTATAAGATAAAATTAAAATAAATTATATGTATATGTTTTCAATTTTTTAATTTTGATATGATCAAAATTTATGTATTTTGAAATGATCATCAAAATTTATTTACTTTCAATATCATTAATTTTTTCAATAAATAAAATTAAACATTTACTCATAAAAAAAAAGAGGAAGAAAAACTCTAAAAGCGTCAGTCAATAACAACGTCGATCATTTCTGTATGTTTTCGCGCACTGCCCCTTTCCAATGGGTTTCGAAGATAAAAAAAAATCTTTTATTGGCCCATAAACGAACCAAGGTAAATTCAGGAACTCAATTTAATTATTTCTTTTATTTTTTATTAAACAAAATCCTTTATTTTTACTCATCAATCAAATTTTTGGACATCGAAAAACATCAGTCCAACTCACGTTTTTAGGCATAGTACATGGGTTGTGTATTACAAGCAAAAATGTTAGTTGATCTGACGTTTTTACACTGAAAACGTTATTCCAATTGACATTTTTAAAAGGGCATGAGTTTGGAAATAATTTGAAAACTACCCTCTTTTGGTTATAAAGTTTAAAAACCCCATGAGTTAGGATAAAATCTCAGAGGAAATAGTCCTAATTTCTTGTATCTTGACCATCATAAAATTGTTTTACATTATTGATGAAATAATATAGTTCTACCGTTTCTTATTCAAAAATAAACTATATAAATTTTAATTTTTAAAGGTTAAATTACACTTTCTTATAAATGAAGTTACAATTGATTTAAGTTTTTTTGTGATTGATCACAATATTTTATGATCGATAATAAATTATTTGAGGTAGTTATAATTTTATCTCTAAAAGATATAACTCACCTTTAAAAAATAATTATTTTTGATTTTTTTTTTTTTTGTTGGGTATCGTAGAATTACCCTTCCTTGTAAGTATTGTGTGAGAGTTGGTTACCAACGAAACTTATCATTACAGCAAATAAAAAAAAATGGGAGTCAACGATATGACCTGTTCGACTTGGTACTTGCCAATATTCTATTCTTGTCAACTAGGCCAGCCCGCCACCCAAACCTTACGACTGACCGACCTAAACCCACTCAAAAAATATTAGGGACCCTTTTGCTTTTGGGTGGAAAATGTCGGTGGTACACTTTTCCTTGATCTCCTAACAGTGTTTACTTTGACCGATCAATTGTTTGCCTCCAAATATGAAAATGAAACAATGACCTAGTTCTTGTTACTCTGTTTTGATTTTTATCAGAGGATCTTGTTGAACGGTTTTATCATTTGGAATGATTCTAATTTTTGAAATAAAATGTCATTTTAAATTCGTCAAAGTCAGCATGATTTAGAGAATCAAATGAACTTAAGAAAATTATCATATAAACAATGATTTAAATAATAATGAAAACTTTGTGGAACAAATGGAACGCGGTTTGGATAGGAGCAAACAAGGGAAAATAGGAACAAATGGAGCTTATGGAATTTTTTTGAGTAATACCAATATCTTTTCACGTATTATTTAATAGAGAGAATAAATTATTACCTAAATCATTTGAAATTTAAACCCAATTCAGAATTCAGAGGACATCGTCTAGATCACTTGGAGTGACTCAGTATCTTAGAATTAAACCCCAAGAATTAACTAAAAGTTCCTTACATCAAACTTAGCATCTTCAATTTTGAAAAACTATTTCTTATATAAAAGGGCATGTAAGTTGCTTATTGTTGCCTTCCCTACTTGTGAAATGACCAAAAAAAAAACAGTTCAAATAAAAAGATTTCATGGGTCACTATTTCAAGATTTCAAGGGTCAAAGTAACCAAACAAAGAGTATGAACAGGTTTTGAATCTTTTTTATTTCCTTTGTTTATCATGCTGAAGATACTTTCTTCTTTCTCAATTTACAGTAATAATATTCATATCCAAGGATGTAATGCTGCTCAACTTGCATATGATAACTAATTAGATCAATTTTAAGACATGTCACAAATTCGTGCTTTCGCCATTACAAATTGATACTAAATAACACTAACCACATATTTCTATAACTGCTTAAATTGAATTTTGAGACCAACTTTTTATATATAAAGAAATAGACACAATTCGGTAAGCACACCTTATGTGTTAAATGAATTCGAGGACAAATGCTTATGCTTTAGGACAAATGAATTTTACAATTATCTAAAGGTGACGGTCGTAGAGCAAGAGTGATTTGGGGAGTTAGTACTTCACCAGCCTAGCCCTAGAAGCCACCCAAAAAAAATCTTTATAAAACTTTTTTTTTTGTATAAGATTTTCGGGACATCATATTCATCACGGAACTATTTTCCCCATTGAAAGATTAATTCAATTTGCAAATAAATTTTCAGATGAAATTAAAGATAAAAAATAATTACAAAAATTTTTAGGAAGCTTAAATTATATTTTAAAATTTTATCAAGACTTCCAAAAAACTAATACACCATTACATCACAAATTATGCAAAAATCCACCTTCGTGGTACTAAAGTAGTAAAGCAAATTAAAATCAAAGTTAAATTAAAAATAAATGATTTTTTATTTAAACAAAGACTCTCATGAGTGTTAAAATATATTAAAAATGTCAATTGATCGTGAATAATTATTCAATTACATGTGAAAATTGTATATGCATATAGACAAGGGACCATCTATCCTAATCTAGCAAAAAATCCTTCTATTTAGTCACAAATTACGTAATAGTTTATTCGAGATCAAAACTTTTTTTCTATCAAATAAAAATATCTTTCAATGCAAGTAATATCTATTTATGACATTTACAAAAAGAACACACGTAATCTATTTTCTAATTCAGAATAAAAATCACTTAATTTCTAAGCCATAATTCAAAGATTCCAAACAAAAAAGAATTTTTTTTTTTTTTGGAAAAAGTGAAAAACTTTATTCTAGTCCAAACATAGTAATAATTCAAAAAACAATGACCATAACTAAAAAACAAAAAAAGTTGGGATGGTCTACAACATTAAATCGAAAAAGGATATACAAATCCCCACCACCATTTACTCAATTCTTATCCTCATTCTCTCACCCCACTTCCATGCCCAAACAATTGGCTGTTTTCTCACAAACTCAATTTTATATTAATTTCACATTCCAAAAAAAAAATATTAATTCCTGTAAGATATATATATATTGGTTTTGCCCTTTCATTTTCTTCAGGAACAAACAGTCAAACACCCACCAGTACCCACACACAAACATCACCCCGAAACCCAACTTCCACGTACAACCCACCCCAAGAAACCATTGTCTCTCTCTCTCTCTCTCTCTCACCATTTGCATAGGGCGTCGTTACTCTGTCCCTCTCTCTCTTCCCAGTTTCTTTCTCTAACCCATCATCGGATCTGAGTTCCGAAAGCAGAAACCAAAACCCCACCTAGTTTGAGGATCTATATTGTCCGATCTTTTCCCCGTAAATCGTAATTCCCACCCTCTCTCTCTCTCTCTCTCTCTCTCTCTCCGTGGGACGGCACTTCTACTAGACATACATAGATCGAACTACATATACTCTATAAATACAGAGTTTGACAGAAAAAACCACGAAACAATCAATTGGAGTAGTTAGTAGATAGGCGGGCATTTTCATTGTTTCAGATGGGAATGCCCGAACGATGAACAACGCCGGCGACGAAGAAGACGAAGACGAGTGTTTCTACGAGTCTCTCGATCGCTTACAATCCTCCGCCACCAGTTCTCGCTCTTCCTCCTGTGCTTCAGACGACGACGTCGAAGACAGAGATCAGAACTGGATATTGAATTCTGCAAATTATGCTAACTCGGACCATCTATCAGTGCCCAAATTCCCAATGGGCGTGTCCAACAACTATCATGTCTGGATATCCGAACCTTCGCTCTCCGTCGAAGAACGCCGAATGCGACTCCTCCGCCACATGGGACTCAGCGGCGATTTCACTCTTTCCCGCAAAAAAACCTCTCTGCCTGACGGCAGTTGTGGTGGTGAAAAGATGCGCGGCGGAGAGTTTGACAGTTCGCTTTCATCAGATCACTTGAACCCTAGTCAAGGGAATGGTCAGGTTTTTTCCTCTAACGATTTCAATTCTAGCCCTGGGATTGTCCTTTCGAGGTCGGACAGTCCCACGGATCATAATCAGTGTAATTCTAACTCGTTGTCAGTTAATTCCTCTGAAATTATTTCAACTAATTCAATTTCATCATCACAAACGGTCAATGAGACTTGTGGCGGCGGAGTATTCGTAAATAATGACAATCGAGATCGTAATCAAAATGTTGCTCTTGTTAAATCGCGAAGTGGAAATGGATCGACAATTAGTAATGCAATCTCTTCGCCAAATAAACCTCCCTTGAGGAAAAATATTAGGCGGGGTGATGAGATTAGAACCGATTACACTCGTTTGAATCTAAATGCGAATTTCGATTCCTTGGCTGTTTCAGGGAATGGGGAGGTGGAGTGGGGTTTGGAGTGTAATCCAAATGGTTTGGTTGATGATCAGGTGTGTCTAATTAAAAATCTTGATAATGGGAAGGAGTTTGTTGTGAATGAGGTGAGAGAGGATGGGATGTGGGACAAACTTAGGGAAGTGGGTACTGGGAAGCAGCTGACTATGGAAGAGTTTGAGATGTGTGTTGGGCATTCGCCACTTGTTCAAGAATTGATGAGGAGGCAGAATGTGGAGGATGGGAATAAGGATAATATGGATTCAAATGCAAATGGGAGTGGATCTAAGTCAAAGAAAAAAGGTAGTTGGTTGAAGAGTATAAGGAGTGTGGCTAGTTCAGTCACTGGCCTTAAAGAGAGGCGGAGCAGCGATGAGAGAGATACCTCATCAGAGAAAGGTGGTAGGAGGTCAAGTTCTGCTACGGATGATAGCCAGGATATTTCGATTCATGGGTCGGAAAGAATTCGGGTTCGACATTATGGGAAGTCCTTTAAAGAGTTATCGGCACTTTATAAGAGCCAGGAAATGCAGGCGCATAATGGGTCTATTTGGACTATTAAGTTTAGCTTGGATGGCAAGTATCTAGCAAGTGCCGGTGAGGACTGTGTCATTCATGTGTGGGAGGTTGTGGAATCGGAGAGGAAGGGTAATTTGTTGATAGATAAACCAGAAGATGGGAATTTGAGTTTTTTATTTCTCGCTAATGGGTCACCAGAGCCAACTTCACTGTCATCAAATCTAAATGGGCATCCGGAGAAGAAGAGAAGGGGAAGGTCATCTATTAGCCGGAAATCGGTGAGCTTGGACCATGTTTTGGTACCAGAGACTGTGTTTGCGCTTTCAGACAAGCCAGTCTGTTCATTCGAAGGACACCTTGATGATGTGCTTGACCTGTCCTGGTCCAAGTCCGAGGTTAGATAGTATTCTGCTATTTGGCTTAGTATTTATTTGTTTCTAGTAGTATGTTGCATTTTTGGATGATTAGGTACACTTCAACCCTTAAAATGGTTTTTATTACATTGTTATCTTCTATTGCCCTTAAGAATGTGTGTTTGTACCTAGAGTCACATGTAAGTTATATATCTTGTGGGCATAGACGGAGCTAGCCTATGGCCAAAGAGGCCATGCCCCCCAGTAATTTTTCAAAACCCTATGGTATATATATTAAGTACCTCAAGCATATGTTGTCAAAAAAATCGGCCTCCTTTCACTTCTTCTTATATTCATATTGTCAAAAGAAATTCCTACTTTATTCAGCTCTTAAAACAAGAAAATCTTTCTCAAAATATTTATTAAGGTTATGGTGTCACAAAATAATTTTTTATACAGAATCCCCAATTTTTATCCAATAAAATTTTGACATATATAAAAGCTTTTTAAATTTAGTTGTGACATACTTAAATGCTTCTCTTAAAATATTATCTTTGTGAACGAAAATCTAATAAAATAAAGATAACACTATTGTATCAGGTTTAGTATCGTACCAAAACTTACTATAAAATAAAAGTGAAGATACAACTCATTATAGTGAAATTATGATTAAATTAGAGTCAAATTATAATATCAAAATATTAAATTATCAGTGAAAAAAAGGTAGGATAGACACAGCCATCTAACCAAAATATAAGAAATGCAAAAGATTCCTACTTAGCTCATGATATTTGCCCCCCCCCCCTTAAAGGTAAAATATTGGCCCCGTCCCTATTTGTGGGCATGCCATGCCGGATGTCACACTTTGTAATCAAACCTTGTCAGTGCATTGTAGACTGACAAACCAATTTTTCTTTTAATGTTACTCAAGATGTTTGCGACCCATCTATTTTAATGTTGCACTATAGTGTCAAACGATACAAATATTCAAAGGTTTTGTAAAATATCTCAATAAGATTGCTCATGTGTCATAAGGTATTACATAACTTGGAATATCTTTTATTGTGCCGCGAAACCATGCATACATGGGTATGCAAAAACAAAAGTGAAAAACATGAAATTTGGATGCAGTCTAATTGGAAAACAAAACAAAACCGGTGGGACATAAGATCAATTTTCTCAAGAACTATACAAAAAAACTTAAACTGCCTCTTTTAACCTCATGTTTCTCTCCCTCCAAATCAGCCATATCCGATATGTGAGGCATATCCCATGGCTATCTTATACTCCTCATTCTAGGTATTATCTTTTATTATTGAAGGAATGATTAGAAGAATAAGGAAATTAGAATATGCCATTTTTTGTAGAGTAAATCAACCATTTTGTTAGCCGGGGTTGAATATGGTCGAATTCAAATGGTCTTTGGATAGATTAATTAAGGGTTCATAGCACTTTTTGGTCCCTGAAGTATGTATTTTTTGTTAATTTAGTCCTCATTGTATCAATTGATACAATGAGGACAAAATTAACACAATGAGGACAAAATTAACAAAAAATGTATACTTTAGGGACCAAAAGGACTATTAACCCATTAATGTATTGAGGAAATGACTAGTTTCTTAGTTGGTTGGCTGCTGCAGAAAGTTAAAAAAATTCGAGCAAATACTGCTGGGGAGAGTAATATGTTGTATTCCATCAACTGTTGACCTTAATCTTTTTAATCATCTTTTCAATGTTCTATTACTAGTTCAGAATATCTTAGGAAATAATTCATCTGGAAATTTGTGGGTTTTGATACTGGGTTTTAGTGTGGGCAAACTTTTACAGTAAGGAGGAATAGTGGCAGAATAGACTAGATACTATGTAAAGATAATTGATGTACATAATTATGTCTCACATTAGGATGATTATTTTGGTGCTGCTGAACTTACACAAAATGAGTGCTGTTGAGTTATTGTGGAATTACGAGATGGTGGTGTCGTACGGAACTTTATTGATTGTTACTGAGTTTTACAGTTCTATGATGGTATGATCTCCAAAAAAATTTTGGACAAACTAAGAATGTTGTAATTTGATATAGAGGACTCCGGCTGTAGAATAACAGAACCAACAAATAAGAAGAATACAGCAATAAAGAAAAAGATTTGGTTGGTGGGTCATTTGTTATTTGAAGTCACTTTCCCGTGCTGTGGTGGTTATGCTGTGGTCTGTTGCTCCTCTCATAATATGGCAGCTAGAAGGTGAAATTCTTTTGGTAATAACAATTTCAGGTTTTATGAAATAAGGATTCGTGAAACTTTATACTTTAATGTTTCCTTCCTATCTTTACATGGTATGTTAGTATGTTTACTGGCTTGTGCTTAGGCCTTAGATAGCATTTATTTATTTTTTTTCTTTTCATCTTCTTTTACTCCCTTGTTGGATGATAACAGTGAAGATATTTACTGTTCCTGTAAATATTGCTGACTTCACTACAATCATTATGTAGTAGTGATCACAATCTGACAGGAAGTCTCCTGTCTGATTATTACTCTTTTCACATATATGCTGCATGGAAACTGACAAAAAATTAAGAAATTGAGCCGTTATAGTATATTAAAATTAAGTTTCTGGTGAATTATTCATTAAGACTCTGTGGACTGAAGCTGTCATTTTCAGCATTTGCTCTCATCTTCAATGGACAAAACAGTACGGCTCTGGCACTTGTCTAGCAAAGATTGTTTGAAGACTTTTTCACACAGTGACTACGGTAAATACACTCCTTTAAAGCAATGCATAACAGCCGAATATCAACATTGGAGTATCCAATGATTTCTTATCCCTAAGCAAGTGGGGTTCCCATCGTAAAAAATAGGAGTCCCCAAATCATCTGCAAATGGAGTCGTTTTTTTCATTTCTCTTGTTAGTGGCCAATTACATTATTGTTTTCTGGATTTGCCATGACAGTAACTTGCATCCAGTTCAATCCTGTCGATGATAGATATTTCATAAGTGGATCCCTAGATGCTAAGGTTCGCATATGGAGCATTCCTGATCGACAAGTTGTTGATTGGACTGATCTACATGAGATGGTCACTGCTGCTTGCTACACACCAGATGGTCAGGTTGGGAATTCTTAATGTGCAGCTCTCATACTAAAATTTTGTGTTGCCCACATGCCCTAGCATTTATTAAGAAAATAAAATTTTGCTGCCCCAGCAGTAAGGGGAATAGATGCTGTCATTGTACAAATTTTTTTTGTGAAGGTCCAATTGTGCCTCTAAGGAGTTTTTGTTGATTTATGAAGGGCGCGCTTGTTGGCTCTTGCAAGGGGAGTTGTCGTTTGTACAACACATCTGGTACAGTTGTGGGATCTCTCTCTCTCTCTCTCTGTTGTGTGTCCTTTGTCAAGTTTCTTACCTTGTCACTTCTTTTTTTTTCCAGATAACAAGTTGCAACAGAAAAATCAAATAAATCTGCAGAATAAGAGAAAGAAAGCTCATCACAAGAAAATTACTGGTTTTCAGGTAAACAATTGGCCCTTTCCATTATGTAGCTTTATGAAAAAGAAAGGAAACATTACCCTTTCTTTTCACAGGGTGTCTTTTAGATATTTCCTTGAATATCTGTTGCCTGTTTACCTTTGAGCTACAATTGTGAATTGTGTATGTCTAAGGGTATCTTAGTTTCTAATTAGTACTAATTCGACAGTTCGCTCCTGGAAGTACATCAGAAGTGCTTATTACCTCTGCAGATTCACGAATTCGGGTTATTGATGATGATGGTCTGATTCACAAGTTCAAAGGTAAACACAAACTCAATACAAAAATCCTTTAATCGATCAATGTGCTTACAGGGTTTTGTAAATTGTGTTATACTGATTTTAAATCTTGAAACTTAATTTCAATAGTTAATGAAATTTATTTATGGGGCACAGTGTTATTTAATGCGTTAAGCAAATTGAAGCGAACAAGTCTTTTGAGGGGCGAGAAGCGAGAGCTTCATCGAAGCGAAGCGATAATAAAATAAAAAAAAAGCAATTTATATCTAAACCATCACAGATGAAAAATCTGGTCATTAGTACTCAACAACCATAGATGAAATCCTTTCAGAATTGTGTCATAAATTTTGTAAATTTATTGTTTGCAAAAGAAGAGTTTAATTTAGGATTTTGTTTTGGAAATTGGACAAGAAGTGTATGCAAAAACCTATGATCTTGCTTCTTTTCCATCAATTCAATTTTGTTTAGATTTTTCTTGCAAATTGGGTCTTGTTCTTTGTCTCGTTTGCTTTTTTTTTTTTTTTGGTTTTTTTTCTATTGGTTTAAACTTGATCGATTCCACTCAGTTTGACTCGGATGCAAATCACCCAAGTTATACCAAGTTGGGTCGCTTCATAACTGATTCATATGAGACTTATAATATTTTTGTATCATATATCGTTTCGGATCGGTAGGGGCCAAGGAGGAGTCGACTCGGACTCAGCTAATTCTTCGAACCTTGGTTCCACATTAAATAGGGGTGTAGTAAAGGGTAGACTTAGGTGCAAACCTCACATTTGATATTACCATATGTAAATAAAATAAATATTATTATTTTTATAGAAAATATGAATTTTATGTGTAATTAAATTTAATTAATTAATTTGTATTTTAATTATTGCTAAATTTAATGATTGTTTTATTCTGTAAGTTTTTGAGTACCTAATTTGTCATTTATTTAAGTATTTCTCCTATCCCTTTAAGCATTTGTATATCGAATTATATTATAAAATTATTAATTTTTATTTTATTAAATAAATTGATTAAATCGTTTATAATATTATTATATTATTGCATACCAAAAAATAAAATATAACATATATTTGACTGTGTAATTCAACCGGGTAACTACATGTGTATAATAATTTAACATATATAGGACTTTATTTCTTCATATAAATATCTAATTGTATGTAACTATACTACTAATGAATGAGTTTAAAAGAATTTAGAAGTTTTTATAAAAGAGGCCAAAACGAGTTCAAAGTCAAATAGGTTTAAAAAAAAAAATTAGATAAAAATATATAGGTGGGTATAATTGACTTTATCATAATAATTAGGGATAAAATAAGAAATCAAAATTTTTTTGTAAATGCTGACATTTATACACTCAATCGATACTTTTAGCATTGCACTGCACAATAACCCGTAATTGATTCACTCAATATAACCACCAAAAGTTTACTAACCTTATCTGCTACTTTTCTGTAACTATCTTTAGGAATTGTTCATTATCTGGGCATTGGTACAAAAGCTTTTGGATAGATGGTCATTCTAGTTTCCTTGACTTGTGTTTCAATACCTTTTTTCCACTGAACTTATCTTTTCAAATCAATATTTGAGTTTACTGTTTTTCTCAAGGACGGGACAGCCTATCTGTATATTTCTTCTTCCATTTGTAATTAGTCGATAATAAATTTCCATTTTTCCTTCTAGTTAACTGAACCATCAGTGGTGTTTTTTTTTAGGGTGCAATTGACTTAACCTTTTCATTACTTACAACTCCATGAGTATTTCTTTATTTTGGTGTTAATTTGCTCATGTAAATCACTCTCCATATGAACATATGCATTTGGAGGTTAAAGTTGAATAACAAATATGAGAATTCTTTTTTTGGCCAGAGAATTGGAAATTTGACATGAGAATGATTAAAAAGGGGCATATTTATTTTTAGCCTATGTACCATGAATAACTGCGTGTAACTTGATCCAATACAGTATGCAGGCAGCCTGACTTAGTTTGAAAAGAGAAATCTGTCCAGGTTTAGTCATTTGACACAGTAGTAGTCTCAAAGCTAGGAATTCAAACATTGACCTTCTATTTTCTTTATAAAGTTAGTGGAAAATATGTTAATTCAAATTCTACTGAGATTACATTCAGAATCCAGAGAGATGTGCGTAATAGCTGTTCTGACCATCATTGGCTGGTGTTTGAGTAGTGGACCTGGTTTGTGGGGTAGAGGGTAATTGACAATGAGAAGCAAGGTCAAAATTCAAGACATTAAGGGGACTTTTGGATATATCTAATAGAGAAAATATTATAATATTAGCAACAATAGCCAATTGTGGAAAAATGAAGAATCATGGGAGCAGGACTCCTATAGTATCTCCTGACCCAAAAAAGGAAAGAAATAAACTGAAAAAAAAAAACTCCTAGGATATCTAAATGAAACTCAAATGTACAGGCTTTTGATATTGTTAATTGCAATGAACCAATTTGTACGTGAACTAGTGAAAACTGAAGCAGATTACACTCACGTGCTTTAAAACTTATAAAGCACTAGTGTGACGCCCCTAAAACCAAGGGTCATTTTTTAACCGTTGACCACCCGTCAGCCCGCGGAAGTATCCGTGATCATTGCAGAACCCGACATCACGTCAATAGCATCCCTTTAACCGGGATCATCACCCACACGTGTAACTCTTGTACATTTTACCATTTGACCCAACCAAGGTCCAACATATTATAATTTAACTCATTTAATACCCATTTATATCCTTGGGACCAAAGAACCCATAGTCCAAAAGCATGGCAAAATAATTTTAAAATTTTAAATTTTTGAAAGACCTACCGGTAGGGCATACCGATAGGGTGAGCTTACTGAAAAATTCCTACCGGTAGGATTTGCCTACTGGAAACTTCCTACTTGTAGGGTTTACCTACTAGAAAATTCCTACCGGTAGGGTTTGCCTACTGGACAAAGTTGTACTGGTAGGTTGTACCGGTATGCTTTGTCCAGTTTTGCCTGTTTCACTTGTTTTTTATTTCAAACCATATTACATCCATCCAACACATGTATAATGAAGATTTTTGTTTAATAAAAGGTCCATACACATTCTATTACATTCATTTCCATGAATTTACATGTGAGGGCCTTCCTCCGGCGTGTATCCCGCACCTGAAATATTTTTCCGTATAGGGTGAGCCATGCTCAGTACAGTATTACCTACAGAGGCTACTCCCCAACCTAAGTGTATATGCAATGCTCACATGCAACATTTAACAAACAACATCTCAAACAAGAACATACTATTCAATGTTGGAATTTTAGCATGTCATGCCATGAAATGAGATGATACTCACTCATGCCCTTTAACCCGAGCCCTCACCGGCTCTTTTTCTCCCATGCAATGCCATGAGTATAAAACCGGGCTTTCCAAACCCCTGCCATTGGCGTTACACACCCGATGACTATTTTCAAGAAAACTCTGGGTCTTTCTTGGAGTGGGTATTTATGGACTTACACCAACGGCACCTAACCGACACAGAATTTATGGACTTCCACCAAAGGTTCTGCGTACATTGACACACTGTATGAGCTCTTATACCAACGGAATGGGTATCCAATCATCGGGTTTCTCACCCGAGGGATAGTCTAACCCTTCTTGTTAACCCCGACCCAATTTTTTTTTCATGCAACCGTGCGAATCAGTCGAATCTACGATCCAACTTTCTCGAGTCCACCCATCATTCACCTACGTGGTGTATGATGTCAACCATGTGCACTCATAGCCACACTCATGTCCATAGATGCGATTTCTCCGTGAAATGCAATGTAATGTACCATTGCAATATTAATGTCATGCTCATATGTAATGAATGCTACATGAGCAAGTTAACCACATATCTTCATATTCCATGGCCAATTATATCATATGCATATAATTATCAATTCCATCATAATATCGATATATCTATAAGCATATATCAATATTTTTATACCTAAAAACATATTACAAGTATGTTATTACTTCATATTCGCCGATAACACACTTCATTTTCAAGGCATAATATAAACACATAGGATGCCCACATAACACCGATTTTCATGTAATCACTCAAGTAATTACTACATACCAATTTCATATTAGGAATTTATTTTAAATAATTTTGATATCCATTTTCATACATTTTTTTATCAATTTCACAAATATAAGTAAGTGATACATATTTCTATCAATTTACCCATTTCAATTTCACAAACATAAGTAAGTGATATATATTTCTACCAACCCCACCCATTTCATCAATCTCACAAACATAAGTAAGTGATATATATCTCTATTAACCTACCCATTATAATTTAACACCCTAGGTTGTAAAATAAATTCAAATAGGAAGGAACCCCACCTCTTGAAGCGTGAAATCAATGTAGAAGATCTTCAAGAACTTCAATCAAACTCAAACCCTTGATTTCCTCAAACCTCGTTTTTGGAGCTTCAGTAAACTCTTCAATTTTTGGTATGGTCTTGTAGCCCATGTTGAGGAGAACGGCTTTCTCTTTAGGCCCGAGCAGATTCGACTGCCAGAATTTCGTAGATCGTAAAGACTAGTGAAGAACTCTCTCTTTTTCCCTCTCTTCCTCTCTTACGTTAAAACCGGCTGAAGAATGGGGAGAAATCTGATATTTCTCCCCTTTTATAATCCTAAAACACTTGGCCCACAACGCGCCACACGTCCTCTTTTTTTCGGGTCCGTTTTCGTCCCGAAATGATTTAATTTCACCTCGATTCAAGTTTAAAATATTTTTATTTTAATTTGCCTTAAATTAATTTTTGAATTTCGCAATTTTATTAAAAAATTTGTTTTTAGGTCACCCAAGACTCAACTGTCTCGTAAAACGCAAAAAATTCGACTATCTCAAAATTTGACAAGGTAACTAGATTCGCGAGATGAATTCAACAGTGAGGTCCGTTTCGTCATCTAAGTTGTAGAAAAATTTAGGTTTACAACCCGTACCGTAGTAACAAGTTATCATTTTGTCCTTTTTTTGAAAAGTTCAAATTTACCCAGGTTTTACAACTAGTCAGCTTGTGAATGATACAATTCAAGAGTGTCTTTGCAGTTGTTCGTTTAACATTATCATAAGCACCAAATTAAATAATATTAAAAGTTATGATCAAAATTTTGTTTCAATACATTGTTTCAGTTACCTAGAAAATGGAAACGTTTTGACGTGTTTCAAAAACGTTTCGACTCATTTCAAAAACATAATATAAAAAATCAAGAATTATTTTTTTAAAACATTAGTCGAAATATACTAAAATATCTTGAAATACCTTGAAACATTCTAAAATAATTATACAATTGAAATATAACAAAACATTTTGAAATATTATGGAACACCTCGAAGTATTAAAATTCACTGATTCGTTTCGGTCTCCTTAGAAACGGAAACGTTTCGGATGTTCGACTGTTTCGAAATGATATTTTGATCCTTGATTACAAGCTTAGATGACTATCATAATATGTGACTTCTACTAATGGTCCCACAAGCAGGATTGGAAACTGTCATAGGCATATTATACTCTGAACCCTCATTATGCTGTGAGGAATATCTTTCATCAAACATTATATTGGCCATTATCTCTCCTCCTGTATTGGATGTTGTAGTTTTTTTGCAGCAAGACACCTTTCAATGAAAATGACTTCATTTGAACAAAATTCCTGTGATTCTTTTTGTTTTTCAAAAATTACAAAATTGTCTAACTTAATTTGAAATTTACATGCTGTATTCTCACTCGAATATCACACTTCTCCCTTCCACTGTGAAGCCGAAATGTGATTTCTTTTGAGTGTGGAAGAGTTGGAAAATGATCCCTTGAGGTTTGCTTCAATCCTGGATCCTTTGAGTTTCATTCTGAGAAGCAGTGAACTGTTTTTTGTGACTATCGTAAGAAAGAGGAACCCTGAATTGTACAAACAGTGGAATACATTGTAATAGGTTGGTCTTACTCTTACCATATCTTAGTTACTCAGCCTGTTTGCTTTTATTGGGCAGTCGATGTGCTGTAGAAGAGAAATATTTCATGTTATCATTTTGTGTGCTGGACTCTTAAAAGCAAGATTTGTGTCTTCTTGGACTGCAATATACGTTATTTCACAATTTACCCCCGTAAATGACTTTGATTCTGTAACAGGGTTCCGCAACACTAGCAGCCAAATCTCAGCTTCCCTCACTGAGAATGGAAAATATGTGGTATGTGCCAGTGAGGATTCTCGTGTTTATATCTGGAAACATGAAGGTGATTCCCGACCCAGCAGAGGCAAAGGTGTAACTGTGACACGGTCTTATGAACATTTCCACTGTCGAGATGTATCAGTGGCCATCCCCTGGCCAGGCATGTGTGACACATGGGGATTACAAGATACTTGTTCTGCAGAACCAAGGGTGCTTGTTGACCATATGGATGAGGTCTCTACCGCGAATCACCCCCCTACACCGGTTGAAGCAACTAATGGTAATGAGAGTTCACCGTTGGCATCTGGGTACACCAGTAGCCCACTTCATGGTACCATCTCCAGTGCAACAAATAGCTACTTCTTTGATAGAATCTCAGCGACATGGCCAGAAGAAAAACTTCTTTTAGCTACCAAGAATTGTAGTCCTCGTGTCAGTGTGGATTTCTCTAATGTGGTAAACCAGAGTAGATCAGCCTGGGGTATGGTGATCGTAACTGCTGGCCTTAGAGGGGAAATCAGGACTTTTCAAAATTTTGGATTGCCAATTCGGATTTAGGGAACACCAAAAACTTACCAGGAGCCACAAGCATCTAGAAGTGCTGCATTAACACTTTGGGATCCCCAGTTGGCAAAATTTGTACAGAAAAATTTGGTGAGATTTGTAATATTAAGCGATTTCATCCCTTTTTCCTTTTTCTTTTGTGAAGTGCCTGTCTGTTTGGGACACAGATGATGAACCCGTCTTCCTTGGCACCAAGAAAGAGAATATATTTGTTAGACAAGAAAAAAATACAGCATGAATTTAGATACTGATGGATTTATGAAGTCGGGAAATGTAGAGTCGTGAACATGGTATAAGCTTATTGAATTTAACAGAATTCTTTCACAATTCATTCAGCGTTGTTTTTTTATATGTATTTGTAGATTGAGTGTAGAGCCAGAAATGAATGTATTTTTTGAGGCAGTCAGCCAGTATATATATGGGAAGTTAGCTAATCCTTGTACATTATATCCTGGGTTTATCTTACCTGAGGATGTGATACTCATAGAATCTCTGTATTTGTATTTATATTCCGCAGCCAATCTTTCTCTTTTTTAATTTTTGTTTCGGATGATACAGGAATACTTTTTAGTCTTTTTCCTTTCTGATGATGGTGGATGGCTTCTGAAAACCTGAAGTATTTGAACAAAACTGGTTTTTCTTTTCTGTTAACCGGAAATTGTCCTAGCCTTTTTTTTTTTTTGGTCAAGGGAAATTGTCCTAGCCGGAAGTGATGTAAATTCTGAATGTATTGTAATCATTCATAAACCATAAACATCGTTATGTCTGAACAAGATCTACTTTCTACAACCACAAAAGGGCCTGCCATTTAGGAAAACTGGCTTAACTAAGACCTATTTTTTTTCTAATTCTTTCCCAGAAACAAAGAAGAGATATTGTGTAAAAAGACTACTTTGCCCCCTCAACCCAAGAAGTGCTTAGCCTTCATTGTGAAGACCCATCTTTCCGCCCAAGCTTCTCATCACTTTAAGTGCGTTTCCTTCTTCAATTAATTGTGTATTAGGACACTCTTGCATGCCAAACACCACTAAGAAGATTTTTTGGTCAAACTTTATTATAAGGAGAGAAATAACGAGATTTGAACCTTTAACCTCAAAGTTCAATAATAAAAATGATGACGGTTAGGATAACCATTAAGCAAGGGAAAAAAAAAAACCAAGAAGTTGTAATGCACCTATTCGTGGCTATCCCGGGATATTGGGTCTGCTCAAAAACAATCCTACCAATCAAAGTGTCAGCGAAATCTACGCTTGTCAGAGTGCAGTATAGTTGTGCCATACTCCACCAAGAGTGTCTCGTACCCTTGCACTAATTTTCCATGCCAAGCCCATCACTGTTGTGAGGGGAAAGCCTTGGGAAGCGAACCTTCATAGGCCCACTCCAACCCTTTGGCACTTGAAAAAGTACAAATATCAAAGGATATCCAAAACTCAAAGCCTGATTGGCTGCTAGGAAATGAAGTGGCAGATACATACAGCAAACAATTATCTTATCCACTCTGCCTTTCATATCCAAGAGACAGAACTCAACTTTTTGTCACCAAACTGCCACTATCCCAATATAAAGGCACCACTATTAATTTCCATCACCAAGTTCTGTAGTGGAAAAAGATCTAGCAAGAGGTCCATTTGGACTCATCAAAACAAATCCTCTGCATAGGCTCTCTCTCATGGCTCTCCAAGCTGCTTCTTTGCTTCCCTCTGCTTTTGCAATCCCCAAAGAGGTTTGTTTTCCCTTGGTATGTCTGGAAGCTTTGTATGCTCTTTTTTTATTACTGTCACCAAACAACAAGTGGCTGATTGCTTTGAAAATCTTCAATGTTTGTTTGCAGGGAAAAACCAGTGCAGCATTGAAAGACTCCAGTCTGCTTGGGGTTTCACTTTCGGAACATCTTAAAGCTGACTTCAGCGCTTCCGTATTGAGGAGCAAGGTAATACCAGTATAAATTCATCTATTCATCTAATTACACACAAAATTTACACCTTTTCTTATTGATTGTTGAACCCAAACAGTAGCACCAACACGAGATAAATTAAGAAAAAATAACTTAACTGATACATACCGGTCAATGGTAATGCAAGATGTAGATACGATAATGCAAAAGGTAAGTGTAGACTGAATTAATGTTGATGAAATAGTGAAATAACTATACGGTAACCATTGGTATAGGCGTTGATAGCGCAAAATAGAGGAACATGATTTATGTTATCGATCAAACAGATTAAAGTTTGATTGAGTTGAGTTAAATTTTCACTCTTGATGCCAGAATATATTTTGTTTTGAGAAGAACTAATTGCTTTCCAAGGCAGATAGGTCCTGAATTTAAGCTAACAAGAATTGTGGAATGCTTGTAGCAGATTAATATTTAAGCTGTACACATTAGTCTCTAAAGTAAGAAGGATGCTCTTAATTAGTAACTTATTCACGGGGATTGAGTTCTAGCAGAGGGAATTCAGCCAAAGAATTGGACCTGTAAGAGCCCAGGCTGTCGTTACAACTCCAGCAGTTAACCAGGCTGCACCAGAAGGGAAGAAAACCTTAAGAAAGGGATGTGTCGTGATCACTGGAGCTTCCTCGGGGTTGGGTCTGGCCACAGCTAAGGCTCTGGCTGAAACTGGCAAATGGCACGTAATCATGGCCTGCAGGGACTTCCTCAAGACTGAAAGAGCAGCCAAGTCAGCCGGCATTGCCAAGGAAAACTACACCGTGCTGCATTTAGACCTCGCCTCACTTGACAGTGTCCGGCAGTTTGTAGATAACTTCAAGCGATCGGGTAGGCCGCTTGATGTTCTGGTCTGCAATGCTGCTGTCTACTTACCAACAGCCAAGGAGCCTACCTTTACAGCTGAAGGGTTTGAACTCAGTGTTGGAACAAACCATCTGGGACACTTCCTCCTTTCCAGGTTGCTGCTTGATGACCTGAAGCAGTCCGATTACCCATCAAAACGACTCATCATTGTCGGTTCAATTACAGGTACAAAGAACAATAGTCTTCCTGCCAATTATATAGATAACATATAAGTCATGAGCTATACAACAAATTCACTTAGTTATAAATGAAATCTATTTATTTCCTGCAAAATGAACTTTCCCCTCATATTCAATGTAGAACCTTATTGGGCAGCTAATTAAATTTCTGCAGTGAATATCATCTGTTATTATTGATGATAGTATAAGTAATGTTTCTGTAAATTTTATCTTAGGGAATACAAATACCTTGGCTGGGAATGTACCTCCAAAGGCCAACCTTGGGATTTGAGAGGTCTTGCTGGAGGTCTGAATGGGCTGAACAGCTCGGTCATGATTGATGGTGGGGACTTCGATGGAGCTAAAGCATACAAGGACAGCAAGGTCTGCAACATGCTCACCATGCAAGAGTTCCACCGACGTTACCACGAGGATACGGGGATCATTTTGCATCCCTTTACCCAGGTTGCATTGCTACAACAGGCTTGTTTAGGGAGCACATCCCATTGTTCAGGGCTCTGTTCCCTCCATTTCAGAAGTACATCACCAAGGGCTTTGTCTCTGAAGATGAAGCTGGAAAGAGACTTGCACAGGTAAATACTAGTACGTCCAATGAAAAAGTGAATAGATAAAATACATTTGGAGACTTCATATCATGATGTGCAATGTGCTGAATTACTCGGTTTTTTTATCTAGGTTGTGACTGATCCAAGCTTGACAAAATCGGGGGTCTACTGGAGCTGGAACAAGGACTCGGCATCATTTGAGAACCAATTGTCTCAAGAAGCTAGTGATGCAGAGAAGGCCAGGAAGGTGTGGGAAGTCAGTGAGAAACTTGTTGGTTTGGCATAAATGTTTTCCGTGGTATTCTTCTAATCGAGTAAGCTTTGCCAAAGGAGAGGAATTTCTGGGTGCATTTGTTATTTATGAGTGCAGTGTTTGAATTCGGATGAAGAGGCATTCTAAGCAATTTTCTCTTGTAAAATTAGGTGACTTTGAATTAAGATAATAAAATCAGACGACCCATTTGATAAATGACAATTATGTGGTAGTCTCATGAACAGCAAGGAGAAAGAGATAATTTGAATGACTCTGGAAGTTGGGACATTCAGCAAACAAGATTAGTCCAGCGATCATAATCGAATTTCTGTAATGGCAAATCTGGCAAATAAATTCACTTGATTGAAAGCAACCATTTGTTGTATTTTGATCATAATACAACTGAGAATTTCTATCAAACATAGAAATTAAGCAACAAATAGAATTGCATACCTTCCCTGAATTGTTCTGATAGCCAAAATAAAATCCACGGGAACAGTTAACAAATAGCTGTTGCTAATAGATATCGAACTGATATTAGGACGTGTGAACAGTTACCAACCTTGGAGATGATTTTGCAGACCTGCAAATTAATTACTAAACATGGAGAGTCTGAGAATGAATCAGGTCCCCCTCCAGGCACAGAAGGAACGAAATGAAAATCACTTCGTTTTTGCACATTGCGGCCTAATATCATGCATGTCATCACCAAAAGAAATGATTTACGGGGTAGCTTTTTTAATGGACTTCTGCAGTTCCTCATAACTCGAGCAAAGTACACAAGCACGAATACGAAAATTAGAACTTTGGAGTCACAGACAATTTTTAAAAGCTTCACTTATCTCGCATATACATCAGGCTTGGGAAATTTACACGTAAACACTCTGTCTACATCTACTCTATTTGTAGAAGACACTCAAAGTTCATAACCAGGGAACCTAGCCTCAGATGGTTCGATCAAGTCCAAAAAGAGATAAGCCATTCCTCCAAGGCCTTCAAACAGGGAGTAGGGGCGATCACCTCCATGCATTATCCCCTCTGATATGAGAACTTGAGCTCTATCATTTAAAGAAAGCAGCAAACGCTTTGGCCCTGTACAAGAACTCCACTTTGCCTGTCAATCTGTAAAGTGAAAAAAATACATAGGTATTCCCACTGATACCATGACAAAGCCCAACTCGTTTAAGCAGACCCCGATTCCATACCACCTCCCCTGCATCCACAGCTGCCCTCAGAAACTCCTCGCTTCCAAAAACCTGGCACATTATTTTGTTTACTATGGGTGAGACACTCTTGAAATAGCAAGAATTCTAATGAACCAAAAGTAGTAGAGGGCTTATTTGTAGGTGAGCCTGCAATGACTAATCAAGAAAATAGGTTAAGTTTGACATTTAAAAATGTTTATGCAAGTTATATCTACCTTTCTGCCCATAGGTCACTTCCAGATATATAGGTCAATAGGCTTGCAATATGCACCAAAAAAATCCACCACCTCCTCCCCCCAAGAAAAAAACAATAAGGAAGAATGCCCCCATCCCAAAAGCACTTGCAGCTAGTTTCTCCGAGCCCCGTGTAGGTAAAAAAAGTGAATCCAAAAATGTTGACGAAATTAATTATAGTTCCATTTCCTTACTATAATGCTTACATCTGGAATAAGCTGAAATACATTCATAATAAAAATGGCTAGCTTGACACACATTACCTTGGCTGCTTTTGCAAGGGTAAGAGCAACCCCCGAAGCACCATGACACCATTGCACAAGACAGTCAGATTCACTTCCTTCACTTGAAGGATAATTTCCACTGGGAAATCGATTCTTGATCATGTACTGCAGTGTACCCTTGACATCCTCCACCTCATCTCGCTTCAGTTCCATGTCCATCAATACATGCAAAATCCCAGCAAGTCCATGGGCATCTCCCCAATACCTTTTACCATGCCATTCATACATCAAGGGGCATCTTCCCCTTCCCAATTGCCAACCATTCTTTATAACTTCATCCACCACTGCTCTCTGCAAGTATTTCAGAACCCAATACAATGATTATCTTGTTCAGGAATGAAGAAACCAAAATTTATGTAAAAATGTTTATAAG